GGAGGCGAGAGAACTATGGGCCTCCTTTGCATACGGAATTTTTCGCCTTTTAATCCTTGCTTAACTCTTAAAAGGTGAAAAATTCCTTATGCAAAGGAGGCCCATAGTTCTCTCGCCTCCCCCTACGGTTAACACTAAGCAGACTCAGTCACTGTGACTTGGAGTTTGGCAGCAACTACCTTGGCCTTTTTAATTATTTTAAAAATTCTTTCCTTTTCCTCGTGAGACTGGTGAGGCCCCGCCTCCCCTGCCTCCAGTGACTGCACATCCCTGATTGAGATGTATGGAGGTCCTTGTTGTGTTTTTGCCTATATTTTTGTATAGATCCATCGGGTTTTGTTTTTATGGTCAATTATATTGTAAGTCACACAGAGTTTAGGGTCAGATGGTACTTACACTGAATTAATTTTGAGATTATTAAGCTGAAGCTAAGTCCTAAGAACATAGAATCACTATGTATAGGCAGCTCCCTTATCCAGGAATTTGTAGAAAGTGTCCTATAATTGGATGGGATTGTTCTGCTCTTGAAGAGACACATTGAATTCAAGGTAGTTCCTTTGAAGGCAAAACTATTGTAGCACAAATGGTCTCCATCTCCAAAAGTTCCTCGGCCCAGTTCCAGCTGACTCAGCAGCTATAACTACATTTCCATTATGGCCATTTCTGGATAAGGATAACCAAATAATTTTGTACTGGCAAATCAAGATTGAATTAATGTAACACACTATCTAGAGATTGCTTTGGAAATTGCAAGTTCTGCAAAGAGGTGACAGAGGTATCAGAAATATTTCACTATTGTTCTGAAGGGACTGAAAAGTGTGCATGGATTTGTTCATCAGGTCTTTGGCTAAATAGTACTGTGACATGGTAATTGAGCCTTAAATCTTTTTAGGGAGTATATTGCTTTAAGTATAACATTGTATTGAATTATTCTTTTTCCTAGCCGTGTATGAGAATGACTTGCCTTAAAGATGTAAAATTGGTCAGTTGTTCATATAATTTAGGATTTGAAACATTATTTCATTCAATAAACAGTATCAGGATATCACATCATTGCCTTGCCAAAATAGAATTATATCTCAAGTCTGGATATCAAGAGATGATCCTCGATGACCCCTCCTTTGTAACTTGCATTGTGTGTGGATAAGATGACCGGCTTTTTTGGGAACGGCCCCACTTTACAGAAATCTTTCCTGCTCCAGAGGTATATCTCTTTCCAACTCTGGGATATCCAAATTTTTTTTACAAATACTTGCCTGTTGTGGCCAGCAGGAGCCATTGGAGCTGCAAACAGACTCTGACAGAAAGGGGCCCAATGAGTCGGCTCTGGAAGATGTGGAGGATCCTGGACAGGGTTCCAACTCTGAGCAGGGACCAGAGAGGCTGGTTGGCCACCAGGAGGCACCTGAGGCATGGAGCAATGTAAGCCAAAGGAATGTGCCCATGACGTCAGGCCTTGGAGCAGTGTGGAGGAGACAAGGGAGTTGGTCCTGGATGCCAGGCAACGGCGGGCTGATAGACGCAGAGAACAACTACACAGATACAGAAGATAATTGAACCAGGTGGTTGTAATTAGGCTCCTCTCATGAGAGTATATAAGGAGAGACTTTGGGAGGAGATTGTTTGCAGGATTCAACTTCATTACCAATGCTGGAGAAGTTCTTGTGTATATTTCTTATCTTGGAAGTCTGAATTTCTGCCAAGGTCTAGTCAGTGTGTTGATTTACTGTGAATAAATCGTAATCTTATCTTGGAGTGCCTTGGTGTACGGAGTGGGGGGGCTGAACACTTGCCTAACTACAAGAGGTAGTGTATGTAGTGAAACAAATATTGCAATATCTATAGGAATAATTAGCCAAAAAAGGCTGTCTTAAGAAGCGTGTATCAGTACATGTTTTCAGAACAGCAATTCTGAAAATATCTTGAAAAAACAATAACAAATTATAAAGTTACAAAAACAAAACATATAAAGTTTTTTATTACTTTTACAGTGTTTTACAATACAATTTTCTTAGAAAATTTGATATTGTCACCAGCATTATTTATTTATAATTTAGATTTCTAAGACTGCTCAATTCCACAGCAATTCTGGGCAGCCTTAGAATATATTCTGAATATACCACAATACAATTTAATTAATGCACAGTGTTTGTTGCTAGAAAGAAATTAAATTCATTGATAGAAAAATATAATACTGGGATTATAATCCTTGGCATTATGTCCTGCCCTGCAGGACTGTATGCCAGATGAAGAAAGAATACTTATGCACAATATCATACATTCGTACAATTCATCAATACTGTATGATCTAATTAGTATCTACTCAATACTACTTGCAAGGTTATGCAAGACATTTTAAACAATGACTTAGGGGACCTAAAAGGGTCTCAATTTTAACTCCATTCTAAAGGTATACAGGTATTACTCGAGTTACAACAGTTCACTTAGCAACCATTCAAAATTACCCCCCCCCCCAAAAGTACTGATGACCCGAAGCTGAAGTTATGAAGTTACAACTGACTGAAAAGACACTGCAACATGTCCCTTGCCTGTTTCCCCCTCCCAGCCCTGTGGGGATCCCAAGGGAACATGAGATGTCCCAGTGCGTCGGGGGAGGCCTTGGTTTCAGAAGCAGGTGGCCTGTTCTAGTACTAGGCTCCCATGGTCGTCCCCAGCCTGAAATAGCTCATGTGCACTTAACTAAGGATCACATTCATTTAACATGATCCAATCAATGAATCCTTGGGTTACAATTATAAATGGCAGTCTCTATTACAGTCATAACTCAAGGATTATCTGTAGTCAAATGTCATTCCTACTGATGTCTGTATGGATAAAATTAAAATCAATCATGAGTATGCTTCCATTTTATTATGCAATGTCTGTTCAGAAAGACATTAGTGAGATCCAACTATATTTTCCTATTTAAGAGTTTATCTACAAAAATGCAATTTTAAAAATTTGCTATAATAATTAAGCTACTACTGTGAGTGTTTGTATATTGAAAGATAATAAAATTATTTTGTAAAAAGACTTATTTGTAAGGCAGGGAAAAATTATGTAAAACTGGCAAAATTTCCTAATCTTTTTATAAGCTTTTATATACTTTGCTTCAAAGACTGTGGTTATTTTTTTTTAAACAATGGAACATTCTATATACAAGAGTTATAGGTTTTACTATACCTATAGTTTTCCAGTTAATATTAGTGGCATATATAAAACCCAACCGTACTAATAATGTAGTCTGTTGTTGTTTTTAAAAATGTGGAACGGTTATGAGTTTTGAATGCACCGCATAGAAATAAATGCTAAGAAAATATAGCAATATTTAACACAGGATTAATATACTTTTCCATCATCATCACTTCTCAAATGCAATTTTCAATGTTTAACATTTTAAATTGTTCTTCATTAAGATTCTCATGTAGTTTAACACTCTTCTAATCACCAAATAGTATATATCTTCTGTACAACCATATTACACTATTATACAAACTTGAAGCACATCAAAATCAATTTTGTTTCTTGTAAAAATTTGCATTTGATATTATAGAAACCATTTTCTTGTCTTCAAACCACTGCAAATACTCTGAATGCTTTGCTTCCTGGAGGATTCTGTAAACTGTAAAAGAAAAATAAAGAACGGATAGTTTGAAAGAACTTAATCTTATCATTTGTTCTCATTTTACATATGAATCTCTATTACATTTACATATTTATTACTAATGTCATTACTAGAAGGATGACCTATAAATATTTGGACAGCATGTTCAGATTACAAGTTAATTTAATGTATATCTAATGGCAAAGCAATAGTTATTTTTTTCACTAACTAGAAATGGCCTTTCTATAAATTTCATTGACTGAAAAGCCCATCTATAATTACTACTCTAAGAAGAAGTGTAGTGAGCTCAAGATCTAGTTTTGATATGTCACAAAATCAACTTCAGTTCTGAACAGACTCTGAGACAGTCTTACCAAGGAATATTACAGTACCTTCACACCATTACCACTGAAGGCAAGGTATTGATTCATTCCTATTTAAATATGTTTCTTTTAGCAAATAGACAATACCATAAAAATATATACGTGTGATGGAGGGACATTTACAAGAATTCCAGAATGGAAGTATAAAGTTTGGAATCTATCTTTTTGGATACCTAAATGTAGAATTTTCAAGTTGAGCTTTGTTATAGTTTGCAGTGAGAATATATCTGAAGGAGACAGCCCATAATCTGAATGTAATTGGCCAAAAAGTGAATATCACCAAAGACTTGCCATCAAATATTTGTTTCAGCTAGAATTTAAATCAGCAGGGTATTAGCAGGAACAAAACCATACTCCACCCAGAGAACTACATTCATTGTCAATTGAAAGATACAAGATGGCTTTCAGAAATTTAGACTGAATGATTTCCAAGACATATTGGCAGATTTGGGAGCTGCACATTAGGAAATTCAAAATCTTAATTAAATAGTCTGACTGCTGCAGACACATATTAATTGCCTTTATGTTTTACAAATATATAAAGATTTTTTTTAATGCTTGTATTGTGAGTTTGGTAATTGTTGAATCTAGAGGTAGTTGATGGTACATAAATAGCTATATTCTTGAAGTCCTTAACTAACTTGACTGACTGTAATTAATGTTTCAGTTATGAGAATAATCAAAAAACAGTTTAAAGTAAATTAGCTAATTTTAAATGAGTAAATTAACTAATTAAAACTTTGTAGCTTTTATTGTAGTTGATTTCTAATGTTCTTCTAAGGCAGAAACATGCTAGTGCCCATGCAGACTGACTTGGTAAAGGTTAGCTACATTATCTGTGTATAAAGACGGGTGAAAACTAGAGAATGAAATGTGATTTTGTAAAGGGCTAATATTATGCCATTATTGCAAATATTGTATTAAACAATAACAGGAAAAATGCAGCTGCTTTACTTCTTTTAGGATTCAGCATGAAAGTATTTTTGAGTAACATTATCAGCTGAAAGAGGCACTGTTTAGTGAATGAAGCAGGTGGCATCTGCCACAATCTTTCTCAGAAGAGTCAAAAAGCACCTCCAAATAAACTGAGGGTTCTTAGGAAACTGAACAACTTCTGAACTGGGTAGTCTGGGATTACATACTGATAAACACATGAATAGCCCGGAAGAAAGCCTACTTGTTCTGCAGTTTACCTTTCTTCTGGATCATCACATTTTCAAATTTATAACAGAAAGGTTTCATGTAGAACTTGCTAATTTGGCAACATAGGCTGATGGGATGATAATAATTAACATTATTCTTAACTGTGGATTGATAGAATTGCCAACATGATCGCCAATGTTCGATGACGGATATGACACAAAAAAAAAAGGTAAGATAATGGAGTGAGAGCCAGTTTGATGTAGTGATTAAGGCATCAAACTAGAAACTGTGAGACTATAAATTCTAGTCCTGTCTTGGGCACAAAGCTAACTAGGTGAATTTCATCCAGTCATTTAGAAAGAAGGCAATGGAAAGCACTTCTGAAAAACCTTGTCAAGAAAACTGCAGCGTTGATCCAGGCAGTCTCCGAGAATCAGACACAATTGAATCAAATTTTAAAAATAGATAATAAAGGAATATTATCTCCTTTATAGGCTTTATAGAGCCATGGCGGCGCAGTGGTTATAGTGCAGTAGGGCAGGCTACTTCTGCTGACTGCTAATTGAAGTTCGGCAGTTCGGTAGTTCAAGTCCCACCGGCTCAAGGTTGACTCATTCTTCCATCCTTCTGAGGTCAGTAAAATGAGGACCCAGATCGTTGGGGCAATATGCTGACTCTGTAAATCGCTTAGAGAGAGCTGTAAAAAGCACTGTGAAGCAGTATATAAGTCTAAGTAATATTGCTATTACTAATACCTTCTCCAGTAATTCAATAAAAAGTATCAGGTGTACTATAAAGGCTTTGTACCTTTCTGAAGAAATGCCATTTTGAAATGAAGCAGTGTACATTCTTCTCTTATCCACTGGCATGACATCAACAAAGCCACCTTCATTGGGAATTACTCCAGCATGTACTGCTGTTCGGCAGATACTAGACATCTGAAGGAAATAGAAAATAGAATAATTCTCATATTAGAAAGTAACATTGACAAATTATTAACTGAATTTATACAGTATCCTGTTTTCCCTAATGTCCACTCCTACAGCAATAGGACAGGGGTGTCAAACTCAATTTCACTGAGGATCACATCAGGGTTGTGTTTGACCTTGGGTGGCCAGGGTAGATGAGGCAAGTTCGACATCACTCATGTTGGGGGCATCTGTAGTGGCCTGAGTGCTCTGCCAGCAAAAATGGACTCCCAAGCTCTGTTTTTGGCTGCGACAGCTTCCTGAACCCTCTACCAATGAAAATGGAGCTCATGCAACCATCTACCAGTGAAAACAGAGATCCTGCAACCTCTGCCAGTAAAAATGGATCTTGGGAAGATGGTCCTCCCGAGTCCTTTTTTTAATGGTAGAGGCACCACGGCCAAGTCCTTTGCTGTTTCCAGGGCTGCCCTGTGGACCAGATCCAGTTGTGGTTTGCAGGTGGTACGCCCTGGTACTGGGATACCGGAGCCTGCCCGCAACACCGGATACTGTTCTGGTACAGTGCTCTGGAGGGCCTACCCACCCACGCTCCTTACTGTGTTTTAAAGCTGTCGGTACTTCCATGAATACGCATGGCACATACAGTGCCTGCGCGATGCTCCACTGAGCAGCTGGAGTGTCACGGAGGCTTGTGGAAGCGTCATTTGATGCTACAATGCATGCGTGCACTGCACACGTGTGCATGTGCACTGCACGTGTCCATGTAGGTGACGCCAGGGCCGTTCCAACTGTACCGGTTGGAATGGAATCCGGAACTCACCACTGGCCCCCCCACGGCCAGATCCAGCCCCCAGACCTTGAATTTGACACCCCTGCAATGGGAGAGTATGGCTGGGAAGGTCATGAATGGCATTCATGTGATCCCAGAATGCTGCAACCATCACAAATATATGTCAACTGCAAAACACCTGGATTTTGATCATGTGACCATGAGGATGCTGTGATAGTTGAAAGTGGGACTACCAGTTGTAAGTAACTTTTTTCAGTACTGGTATAACTCTGAACAGTCACTAAATGAATGGTTGTAAGTTTAAGACTATCTGAATATAGATCCCATGAGTATAAAATTATACTTGGAAGGAAAATAATCTTCCCCAAATTCTCCAAACTCAGCTAGCCAAAGATTTGAGAGCTATCAGCATTTTGAATACAAATGCTCTCATCAATGAGAAGATGCCTTATTCACTGTGATTGAAAGATTTTGAGGAAACTGGAAAATTATACAACATTTTAATATCTCATACAATACCTTCAGTATTTATACATCTCTCCCAAAATGTATAAATAGATATATGCCATTGAATATAAATATTGATGTTCAAAATGGCGTCTCTTTTCTTAAATTACAAAAAGATTTATATATGTGCCATACTGTTTCTTCCACTTTAGTGTGGTTTCCATTTTCTGAGAAGAGTGGGAATTGTTGTTTTTTATATTATTTTATTTATTTGATGACCATATATTTTAAGTTTTTTAAATCGTATTCCAGAGGAAAACACGTTATCATACTTACATCAGAATAAATTATAGTTCCAATCACTCGGGCATAATGTGGATTTGCCTGCATACAATTGTGAGGACAGTGGACCCTTTAAAAATTGAGAGGAATGATGAAGATTAAGGATTCTACATGTATACTATAATAACATAAAGACAAATGTTATTGCATTGAATGTAAACAATGAAATATTATAGAAAAACAGAACCACAGAAACCAGTTCTACTATCAAGTCAAATACTCTACTAAGAACAGGAATTCGTATTAAAATATCCCTGACAGTTTCTGTCAGGGATATCAATTCAGTAGAGCATGCCATGGGATGCTTGAAGATTTTCCAACAAATCTTGCTTTGCTATCAGCTTTTAGTACTGTATATGCACTGATGCACATAAGTACAGTGGATCTTTGCAATTAATGGGAAAATCTTATTGTAGAATAGAGATTGAAGTATAGCAGTCTTTGCATCTTAGCAGTTTGACATTCAAAATATGACAAAAGTTTAATGTTTCTGAAAAAAATCGATAATCACACTGAATGCTTAGCATTATTGTGTGATTAGTTACAAGCACTTTTCACAGGATGGGCACAATAATGAAAAGGTTTACCTTGGGCAATGTGTGGCTGGCCTATAAAATGGACATAACTGTTCTACTGTAGTTTCACAAGTGACAGCTTGTACTGAAATTAAAAAATGCACACAGTTATTTGCTATAAAGAGATTCATCAATATTAATGTTATATCATAAAAATAAATCCATACCTGTTACTTTAGAGACAGTGAATGAATTAGCCGATTGATATTTCCTAGGGCAAAAACAGACTATTGTTATTAGAAGTAATATCATTATTATATAATCCTCTACAATATTTTTGACAAGGAAATAAGAGAAACAAAAAATACAAAAGTGAGAATAATTATTTAATAGGGCTATACAAATTCAATAAAACTTCATAACACAATTTGAACAGAAAACTGGGAGAACTGAATTATGATCTAAGGATATGTGTCTACCGTATTTTCGGACTATAAAACACATGTTTTTGTCTTCCAAAAGGGGGTGAAAATGTCTGTGCATCTTATAGACCGAAAATTGCTGAAGCCCCGCCTACCCATTGGCTATTTTTTTGGCATCCACACACCCTTTTCAGACCCATCTTGGAGGCTTTTTTCAGCCTGTTTTGGAGGGGGGGTTTTGGCCCATTTTTGAAGCTTTTTTCAGCCCATTTTCGATGCTTTTCTTGGCCGATTTTCAAGGCTTTTTTCGGTCTGTTTTAGAGGTCTTTTGGGGGCTTTTTCAGCCCGTTTTGTAGGCTTTTTTCAGCCCATTTTTGAGGCTTTTTTCAGCCTGTTTTTGAGACTTTTCTGCCTCTTTTTGAAGCCTTTTTCAGCCTGTTTTGGAGACTTTTTTGGCCCATTTTGAAGGCTTTTCTCGACCTGTGTATCAGACTTTTTTGGGGCCATTTTCCTCCCCAAGAAATTGGCCAAATAAAGTCTTAAAACAAACCCAAACCCCCTCAAAAACAGGCCAAGAAAAGCCTCAAAAATGAGCCCAGAGAAGCCTTGCAAATGGGAAGGAAAAGGGCTGGAAAAGGCTGGAGAAAAGGCCAAAAATGAGGCCCCAGGTCACCCCCCCCCTCTTCTAAATTTAGGTGCGTCTTATAGTAGGGTGCATCTTATAATCCGAAAAATACGGTATGTAAATATGCATGTATATATGTATTGCCCATCTCGTATAGTGTAATTTTTTTTCAGCATAAAGCTTTGTATTTATACTATTACTATTGCACAATAGCTATCATAAGAAATAATCTACAATCAACTGCATTTATATCATGTGTACGCAGCCTAAACATGAATGGGAAATGTTTTCATGCCACGGTCTACATAGATTGCTGTATAGTGCAACAAGCATGCATTTGTGCAATAAACATGCATTTTTTCCTATACACATAATTTTGAACACTCAAAGTTCATCACTCGCCATCACTTTAGCCATCTGTAATCTACATCAGGAAAGTGTATCCTGTTTGCACGTAAATAAGACAAGATCTTATTTTCTTTTTACACACAAAATATGGCTTGGGCCTTATTATGAGGAGAGGGTTTATTGTTTTGGAGTTACTGGGCAGCTGCTCTCTTGCAAGTGGGCTCCCAAAGAGCCGAGCACAGCCTGATGGGCGAATGGCTGTGTTGCACTATTATAGCAGTGCAACACAGCAGCCATGAAGGGACAACACTCATGAGCAGCCACCCGACAAACCCCCTTTCCAGCCGGGCACAGCACCATTCACTGACCAAGAGTATCGCCAAGCTGTGTGAGCGCCTGTTCGCCTGGCGCCTTCGAAATGGCAGTAAATGGAGCTCTGCACAGCTGGAAAGGGGAGTTGCACGAGTGGCTGTTCCGCTGTCGCTCGCACTCCTCCCAGCCTTATGATGCCTTGGCCCAGCTCTCTCCACAGAGCCAGGGGACCTCTGCTGCTGCCGCCACCACATGGCAGTGGCCGCTCTGGGTGTACGCTCAATGGTTGTGGGCCAGCTGCCGGCAGAGCGCCATTCACTGCCATTTTTAAGGCAGCAAGCTGCGGGAGCCGGGCAGCGGCAAATAGGCACACACGCAGCTTGGTGATACCCCTAGGTCAGTGAATGGCACTGTGCCAACAAAGGAGATTTGTTGGGTGGCTCTCATGAGTATGGTCGCTTCATGACTTCTGTGTTGCGCTGCTGCGACAGCGCAACACAGCCATTTGCCCACGAGGCTGTACCCGGCTCTTTGGGAGCCCGCTCGCAAGAGAGCAGCTGCCCGGCAACCCCTCCCCTCTTCAGCTGGGCACAGAGCCACTCACCAACCTAGTGGTATCCCGAAGGTGCTAAGCAACGCGATCACCTTTGTCTCCCCCCCCCCCTGGTTCCTGTGGCTTGGCACCTTCAGGATACCTCTAGGCTGGTGAGTGGTGCTCTGCCTGGCCGGAGGTAGGGGTTGTCCAGGGGGCTTATTTGCGGGGGAGGGCTTATATTTTTGCCCACCAGAAAAATGTGGCATGGCCTTATTATCAGGACATGTCATAATTTTGGAGAAACACGATAACCTCTGTTGGCCTAGGATAACA